TATATATAAGTCATCTTCTCTTTTAAAGGGAACGAATTCAAGTCTGTCGATACATATGTTACAGTTAAGCGCGGGAAACTAAAAAACACTTTCAATCTACTATTATATTCTCAGTCTTAGTTTCAAAACACTCAAAACTTAGGCTCTAACTTTCGTAGTTCAAAACCTAAATAGTTAAGCAGCAAATGATTTCTTTTCAACGAGTTTTTGAACTTTTCGAATTTCAACTGCGTCACCACGATTAGCTACTGACCGAAGCTAGTGACATGAGCCGGAAATGCCTGTGACGTCAATAGATCACAAGCTTCTCACCAGACCAGACTCGTGACTTTTGAATGACATTTTCTGAATGTTTTACATGTATAGGAATGTTAGATATCTGGAAAATATTAGAAATCCAAAAATACATATTTCTTCTCTTCTTTCATTTTCTTCTTGTTTACCAGGAATAATTCTTTTTGATCAAATAAACACAGAATCATACAAACATGAAAAAATTTTGACCTTTTTCTTTTTCTTTTTCAAATCTTTTTTAATTTTCTTTCTGTTTCTTGTTTTCATCTTATAATATTAGCAAAGTATTATAATCAAAACCATTTTGTTTTCCCTCTCAGGTTTATTTTTTAATTTAATTTCTTTTTTTACTCAGTTTTTGAAATGAAAATTATCCTAGGAAATATAGATAATAGGAAATGTATAGACTGTGTGGGCATTTCATTCATTCCATTTTTGTTTCAGTTTCTAAAAAGTGAAATGGTAAAACAAGACCCTTTTCTCTAAATTCACGAGATCAGATATCATGTATATGAGGATTCATAATACAGGAGTTTTCCGTTTTCCTTTTTTTTTGTTTCTTCTTTATTGGTTTTTGATATTTCGAACTTCCATGACGAGATCAGATATGGTAAATAGAGATTTACGATACGAGAGTTTGCTCTTTTTCGTTTTTAGGGACCAGTCATTATTTACAGGGAAGGGGGNGGGGGGGGGCAAAACATTTTGTGCACTAAAAAAGGAGGGCCAAAAAAATTGTGTAGGCCCAAAAATATTGTGTAATAGCAAATTTACTGATATTGGGGGGGGGGGTGGGGGCACTAAATTTGGAGTTCTCTATAGAAATCTGATGCTCAATTTTTTTTCGGTAAAGGGGGGACCCAAAAAAAATTGAGCATCACATTTCTCATTTTCTATTTCCACCAGCCCACCCCCCTCCCTTTATATCTGATCTTGTCATGGAAGTTCGAAATATCAAAAAGGAATAAAGAAGAAACAAAAAAAAAGGAAAACAGAAAACTCCTGTATTATGAATCCTCGTTTACATGATATCTGATCTCGTGAATTTAGAGAAAAGGGTCTTGTTTTACCATTTCACTTTTTAGAAACTGAAACGAAAATGGAATGAACGAAACGCCCACACATTGTAAGGGGATAGCTAATAAGGAATGACTAAATTTGTTTTAACAAAGGAATGTTAACTATGCACAAATGGATGCATTTTCCACTCAGAACACATGATTTCTAGGATATATACATGACTAGCAAAAACCAATAAATTATATTCTTCTTTCTTTTCCAGAGTTTGAAATTAAAATTATTCTTTTTCATAGTAAACTAGCCTCTGGCTGAAGCTTCACTTTCATTAAATTTTTATTAGTTTCATTATATAAGCTTTTATTTATATATAGCTAGTTCTTTTTCATAAGTATTGTCAAATTTTTTATTAATTACTTTTTATTGTCATTTCTTTCTAAGGTTATGCGGGCAGTTGTATTTCTTACACTGTGTGCCATGGCAGTAAGTGGAAAGATGAAATGCAAGCCAGATGAGGTAAAGATGTGTGCAAACAAGGACTGGCAAGAGTGTTTTTGCAGAAAGTGCTTGTCGTGCCCTCCAGGTTATGGACCAAATCGTCCATGTGGTGGAAGATATGTGAATGGTAGTACGATAATAAAGTGTATACCATGCATTAGTTTAAAAAATTATTCTCATGAGTATAGCATCGCCTCCTGTCAGCCATGCGTTCAGTGTGAGGGCAAAAAGACTCTGCAAGAATGTACAGCCAAAAGCAAGCGTATTTGTAGTACCATATGCCAAGAAGGGTACAGCATGAACTATGCTACAGATGAATGCTTACCAGACCCCTCATTCAAGACACCTCCTGGACAGAGCAGTACTACAGCAAAATGGACTACCACCCACTTGCCTAAGACTACTACTACTCAGCAACCTAGTAGCACCACCCCAATCCAACTCACCAAAACTCAAACAAAACCACATGGAACTACAAAATCTAGTACTCATCCTGACATTTCTGGAAGCAACTTGGAAAGCAATTCTGCAAACAACTCTGAAAGCAATTCTGCAAGCAACTCTGCAAGCAATCTTGTAAGCAATTCTGCAAGCGGTGATTCCAGCCATTCAAGGGATAACAAAATAATTATCCTATCAGTGTCCGGCATAACACTAGTGGTAGGTGTGGTGTGTTTCCTCAGGAACAGACAGATGTTTTGCTTCCGCCATGCCACTGGGAATCAAAATTCTGAGGAAATACCATTGTCTGATTATAAGGATTCTATATCTCCAAGATCTTCTCAAGAAATAGGTACATTTCATAATTAAAAGTCTTTGTTTTTTATCTTTAATCTTTATTGAGAATTTCTACTTCATTCCAAAGTGTCGTAAAGAAGGGTCGATCCAGACCGTCTATAAGTTAACATTTATGGTAATAAAACAGAGTTAGTAAGGCTGTGCATAAGAGTTAGTAAGGCTGCATGCATACAGGCGTATAAAAATTATTAGTCTATATTGCTGTAGCTATATGATAGAATGAATTCACGTAATCTCCTTTTTACATGCAAATGAGTTTAGGTAGTAAAATAGCATGCTAATGAATTTCGAGAACTTGCGATAACCAAAAGCATTGCATTCCAAAGTTAATGAACTTTAATACTGCAGTACTAATTTCAGTATTCCCAAATGTTTAAAGTCTGATCATTTCTAATCCATGATTAAAACCATTGATTTATATGGAACCGAGCTGTCTTTAGGTAAAATTATTTGTTTATATTTTAATATCCATGTGTATCAAAGAGTATTGTATGTCTCATTTGCATGCTATTTTACCCCTCAAACTCATTTGCATGTAAATTAAAAGGCACTTACGCTAAACCGTTCTAATAATTCAAATATACTGTGAATTTTTACAGTATCATGATGACATCATGATCACCTGATAAAATAAAATAATATTTTCACCAGAGGATAAGATAATTTAATAGCTACAAATACCACCTCTGATTATTTTCAAATTATTTATATTTTAAATGTTATTCCACAGTCCCATGGCCAGACAAGTTTCGTCTCAAAGATATAGTATCAGCTCTCCGTTCAAATATTGCCAACTACATTGTTGGCGAAGGCTTGACAATTGGACTTATCAATGGTTGGCGTGCCATTGGAGAAAAGGTGAAGTTAAATCCAAATGAATTAAAAGCAATCAGTGCTGCAGGACATTTAAAGACACATACAAATGAGGGTGAGCAACTACTGTTAAAGCTGGAAACTTGTCAGCCAGAGTTGACACTTACTGAATTTGTCAATATTCTAGAAAACCTTGGGAGGAAAGATGTGGTGAACTTGATAAAAGACCACTACAATAATGAAAACGAAGCAAACATTAATGCAAATCAAATAAGTGTTACCCCTCAAAATAGCCATCCTGAACCTGAATTTGTTTGAAAGTATGAGCATGCCAACTTGCAATATCAAATGCAAGAGACTGTTAATTCATACAAGTGGGTTCAAAAAATTAGGCATAGACATATTGTCTGATACACTTCAGAATGCAGCTCAAATTTAGGGCCTCCTGCACAGAACAATAGATTTCCAGTTCTCGAGAGATTGAAAATTCTTTTGGTGAATTTGACATTTATTGTTTTAGTAAATGCTTGATATTCCCTAAAGACATTATTATGCTCTTGCTGCAGGAAAAAGGACATTATTTGTATATATTATATGCACAAACTTACATTGAAAACCTTTTAAGAGCCCAGAAGCAATTTTTAAAAGTAAATAAATTAAGATAAGAACATGGATTTCTTCATTAGTTTAGACCAATATATATATAGAAGCTAAGGTACCATATAGAAACTAGCTACAGTATAACCCTGTTAATAAGGACACCGTTGGGACGGACAAAACTGTCCTTATTAACAGGGTGTCCTTATTAAGCGAGGTGTAAAAAAAAACAGCTGAAAATACATTTTTAACCGTTTGTTTTTACTCTGCTGTAAACCTTGAGCTACAATGTTCAATACAACAGCCTGAACTGAAACAAAAAGTACAAGCACTACATCATTTCTATACTGTGCTGTATAATTTCCGATTGCGAGCTCTGTCTATTTGATTATGCTGTAATATTTAGTAAAATCTACTGCAATAATGGTCAGTTGATACGCAATAACTGACAATATAATCCGTATTAATTCGATATATCAATGAAAAAATTCAGTAAAGACGTCTTTAAATTTCAAGTGTCCTTAATATGGGGTTGATTTTGTATGGAAACTGTCATTTAGGTCCTAGAAAAGTGTCCTTTGTACTTATTAACGGGTGTAGTGTAAATATTATAAATATTATAAATAATAAGTTAATATTTTAAAAAAGCAAGTATACATATAGTCAATAAATTAATCATGCAATGTTGTTAATTTATTGTTTAATATATAGAACCAATATTGTAATCTTTATGGCTTGATGCACCAAGAATAAAGATCAAAGATATGATTGTATATAAGTTATTTCAAAAATGGACATTGGAGCCAAAGGCAACAGGAGGTGATCAGTGATATTAATTCTATAGGTTTTTCAAGATCAAAGAATAGCTGGAATGACTCATGTTTCTGCTTCTTATTCTCGTCATTCTAGGCACACAAAAAAGATGTAAGCTCATAATATTCTTTAATTTCCATCTTAGAATGACCTAGCTATCACCTGCTATTTCCTACATCTCCTCTCTGACGATAACCTTCTTTGATATATAGGTATAGAAAAGATTTTAAACTCATATGACATGACAACATTCTGCAGGCCAGTATTTATATGCTAAGCAGTAATAATTTTTTTGTCTAAAAAGAAAACACTTGAATTATAAATGTCCAAGAAAACCATATTTTATAGGGAGGGATATTTATAAGGTGTCTATAATTAAGACTCCATCAGTTTGTAGTCATTTTATTACATCTGCAGGATATACTAATAGTCAATAAGACAGAATAAGTGCTTGCTAAATCTAGCAACATACGAATTGTTAGGGTGAAGTCACTAAACCTGTGAAATAAAAATTGCTTGTTAAAGTGTAATAGTCCAATAATAGACACAAAAGAAAACAATGGAATTAGGGTCTACTATATATTAAAGTGTATTAGTCTAATATCTATTGCACAGGTTTAGTGACTTCACTGTAATGAATTAAAGAATTCAAAGTACTGTATCTTCATCAACAGTCTATATATATATATACTTCTTTCAATAATAGACCAAATCCATGGTGTAACGATGTTTTCCCAATTTAGGCAAAACAAACCCCTTGAGGAATGATTACCTATTGTGTTGAAACTCTTGTCTGATGTTATCCCATGACTCCCTTAGGATACTTACAAAGTTTTTGAAGAGTAAAAACAAACAAAAATTGAATCAGACCTTAGAGGTTTGTCATGCACTGAGTTGGGAAAACATTGTGACACATGGATTAGGTCCTAAGAGCTATAGTCACCAAAAAGTTGAGACCACTGAAAAAAATAGGAAACAAAACAAAAACTGACTTTATTGAATTTAGTATTTTATATGTACCAACTACAGCTGAATAGATAGTACCCTGCAAGCAGAGGGATTTTTTTAAAACCCCTCTGCTCGCAGGGTAAATATATAGGTGCTAACAAAGTAAAGTTAGTATTGTTTTCAAACACTTAGGCCCATGCAGTCCACAAGTCGAACTTTTGCCAAGTGAAATGTTTTGTAAACAACGGATATTATTCAGCTAATGTGTAAAAACCAAACAGTTTGATGTACATATACTGTAGATATATATATAGTGGGATATGTCATTCTTATGAACACTGACATTGCGATGCTAAAAATAATCTGCCAACCTGCCAAAAATATTACTGACCATTCAAATGACAATTTTAGTCCAGTTGCTCATAATATTGTACATATCCACCAATAGATATACATGTATATAATAATTATAATGCACTAAAGTGTAAGACAATAAGAAATAAACCCCTGAAAAATTAATATCTGTCTGTTTCTTTGACTACATATCTAAATTTATGAGATTATAAAAACTGTAAATTAATCTAATATTCTAGACACTTTGGGACTGTTCACAAATTATATCTAACAGAGGGCGTTTGGGTGTGAAAAGAGATTGGTATGCCCAAGTTTTGGGACCCTTTGTTTATATGTATTTCCAACATTTTGAAGTCTCTCTTTAAGTCTTATTTCTATATATTGGCAATGTGCCTGTAATGTTACCATACCCTAGGATGCCCTTTCTCACCCTATATGCCACAAGACTCCAACTCAGCTCAGCTTTCACAAGCATGGACAAAACTGGACAGTCTACAATGCTGGCAACAAAGTGTTCCATCATTAGAATTAATGGCATCCAAAGGTAGAACCTAGAGTAGCATTGCAAGAATGTCATATAACTCATTAATTTTTAAAAACACTAATTTTCTGGGTACCAAAATCAAGGCAGGGGTGTAGCCTGTAGCCCAGATATTGCCTTTTGGGGGGAGGGGCAAAACCTGTGGCCAACCCAAAAAATGGCATCAAATGGCCAACTAGCCTCCCTTGCATCTAGTGGGGGACAGATGGGAACTGAAAGCTAGTGTGCCTCATAGCAGCTGTAAAGGAGGCGAATGGCCAACAGGATAGGGGGAGGGGGCTAGGCCCAGACAGCCTCTACAATGCCATTTTCTCTCTCACACATCCCCCTTAACAAATAATGAATGGCCCCTTTATACATTCATTTGGGACCATATAAACTTACTGAAATATGTATAGCTTGCTATGTTGATATGTGAATATAAGCTTACATACCTGGGCCACTCTGGGCCACTGCAATGGATATCATGTACAATCCTGACGTTACAGGAAAATAGGGCTTACCATAAACCACGAAACGAAACGAAACGAAACAATAAAATTCGAAACGAAGATTTCGCATTTTACAGATGTAAAGAACAGTGTAAACTTTCCATGTACCAAAAGCCACAAATTTATAAACTATATTGAAATACTTCAACTCGTGTTGTTGTGGCGCCATTTTGAATGCACAGGGACCCCAATCGAATCATAATATATGACACCAGAGAAAAAAATTTAGAAGAATACACCACCGGCATGTATATATTTTTGTATTTTTTATGTAACCATGGAAACAAGGAAACAAAAAAATCGTGTAAACAAAAATATTATGTAGGTATAAATAAAGCAATATTCTATAATAATATTGTTTAGTTTTTCTATCAAAAACACAACATACCAGTTTAAAAGGAAGCCATTTCTTAAAATTTTGTCTAAGTGAAAACCGGAATTTTTTGCTAAGAATCCTAGATTTTGAATTCTTTGGTTCGGGCTTCCTGTGYATATTCCAGCGGTCTTCCACATGAACKACAACAAGATGGCTGCCGAAGGTGTCTTGTATTTATGTCTTTTTGCACAAGAACATGKGGACTTYAGAGTGCCGGTAAGTAGTGCTACATGTGTATCCTTATACCACTTGTTTGCATCCCTATGCTAATAGTTTCTTAATTAAGACAAAAACGGGACTAAAGTGTACGGTGTTCTTGGATTCTGGCATGACTTTACGGGTATAGGCTAGACTCAAAAGCTCAGATGCTTCTTCAGATGTTATTCATTTAGTCAGTGAATTAGTCAAGGCATCCAATTTCGTTTGCTTTCATTGAGATTTGTAGATCTTTTTAGTTGAATATATTCATCTTGAACCAAGTTTGTGCTATACCACAGGAGACCCAAAACGCTTATWTTTTTCCTACGTGAAAATCCATTCTTTTATATTGTGATTATTTTCTTATATAATTTATGTCATCTKTTACTGTGTCTAAATGTATATGTTTTACTGAAGTTCCCTTTTGAAAATGAATACAGCTTATATGCATATTTGGGCTCCCTGTGTTTTCCAAAAAAATTGGCTTGGGTCTTGACTCCCAACACAAGAGCCCTGCCATTCTTACTGCTAATTCTCCAAGAAATGCCAGAGTGTCTTTGAAACCTTAGAATTTCAAGAGCTGTGATTGGTTGGAATATTTCTTGCAAAAGTTACTATTAAAAAAACTGCATTAGGAAACAGAGTCAGCTTGCATCAAAGGATAACAATAGACTTGAAAGCTCACTAAATGACATTGCATATTTTTATTTCTTTTTTTTTTTTTGTTTTGTTTTGTGTGTATAATTTATAACCAAGGAAGTGATATCCATAGCATCTTTACATGGTATAAACCTGGAATGCAAAGATGGTTATAAGAATGAGGTACAGTAATTAAGAACATTTAATCCAGCTATTAATATGCAGATGCAGTGGTTGTTTCCCAGGAGGGGTGGTTCTCCCAATATATATAATGAAGAGTGGGAATAATCATCGTTTCTTTAGTGCTTGGAATTCTAAGTCACTCCCTCTCTTTAAGGGGGAAAAAACGATGGTTTTAAGGCTTTTTTTTATAAGTTGTTGATTATCTCATGTTTTTCAAAGTAATATCTTTCAGGGTCAACAACAACAAATTTATTGTACCCAGAATTACAACAATAAATATTTACAAAGAGTCAAAATTAAACCAGGACCACACCCAAACTATATCTTTTAGGAGTTATATTAATTTTTTTGTGGTCATCTCTGCCCTATTTACATGAGAGTACCCCTCTAGGGTGTTGATGTTGATGATGATGTTTTGTTGTTAGTGTTTTTATGTTTGTTGTTGTTGCAGGTTGCAGATTGTAGATGCAGATTGCCTATTGTAATTGTTGATGATTTTGTTGTTGTTGTGGCTGCTGCTGCTAATGTGCTGCTGCTGCTAATGTGCTGCTGCTGTGCAGATTGTTTGATGTTAACTGTTATTAAAGGATGTTGTTGTGGTTGTTATGTTTTGTTTTTATTTGCATTAGAGTCCATTCCTAAAAGTGACATTGCCATGTGAAGATGATGCCAATAAATTATTATCCAGATCTCTATCTATCAAGTAAGTATTACATTTATCAGTAGTCAAAAATACCAGCTAACTATGAATGAAGGCAATTCCCCATGGGAGCCCAACCCTACCCCTGGCTGAAGTTTAGTAGGAACATTAGCTGATAGGGTTTAGGGTGTCTATAAATAACAAAGCCATATTTTTGGGGAATAAAAGTAGAATATATCAGTAGTACACRTGCCTATCACTTCAGTTTGTTTCCTAGACTCAGCATCACATGGAAGAAGTAGAGTCTTTTAAATCTTTCCCAGGGGCATGGCATAGCAAGAAACCAGGAAATGGGGGACACTCAGAATGGAAAAAAAAAGAACTACACATCTTTATTCACTCAATTAATTACCAAAAATAGAGGGGGCTGCCCCACACTTCACAGCGCTAGTCTTCTCTATCTCTATCCAAGGGGTATATATTCCCAGTGTTCTTTGATTTTCCTTGCCTAGAAAAATAATTTCTGATTCACTCTATAAATTTAACATGCCTTGATCAATGTTGGTAGCCTCAATGAACATTTCTAATTTTGAGAAATTTGAAGATAAATCAATATTAACTGATAAATGATATCCTTTCAATATTCAGATCTCTGTATGAGTTGTGGGGAAGTGGCAAAACATTAGATGATCTATGTGAGCAACTGAGAAAATACCCAATTAACAAGATAGTGAGTAACCATGCAAGAATACTACTTACAAATCTTTCAATTTTGTTAAATTTTGAATCGCTAGATTATCTATATATCTCGTAATATTTTTTTTTTCATCAGAAACCATATGGTAATGAAGAATCTTCATTTAGAATAAATGTTGAGACATACAATAAAAAAATACCACAGTCCAAAAGAAATCTATTCTATGAGGTAAGAATTAAGCTGTAATTTATACTGTACTATTTATGGTGATTTTGTTGGTGTCAAAGAACGTAATTCAACATGATACTACTACTGCTGCTGCTGCTGCTGCTGCTGCTGCTGCTGCTGCTGCTGCTGCTGCTGCTGCTGCTGATGATGATGATGATGATGATGATGATGACATTAATAATAGCTAATGGTAATAAACATGAATTTCTAAGTCAAAGTACAGTATGCATGGGATGCTGAGTATTTATGCTTTTTTGGCCCCTCTAAAAATTGATCTGACATGTTTTCCTTCAACTTTAATTTTCTATAGATATGTAAGTACTTTCACGGACAAAAATAACAGTGTAATTTTTCTGATAGTTTTCCCTGTTCCTTTTTTGCATTACTTAGTTTCCCAGAGTGCTTTGTGAGCTTTGATGATCACATATCAGTATTATACTAATGGTGTTTGAATGAGTTACTATATGTAATGTTCCCGAGAATGATAAAAAGCATTTCAAGTAATGATATTGGTTCTAGTGGTAGCAGTAAAAGTAATCATAATAATGATGACATTTGATGAGGATGATGATTGTGATGACATCAGATGAAGATGGTACATTTGATTCTGATGCCCAGGGCGATGAAGGTTACAAGAATGGTCATTATGGTGTTAATGACATTGATGATGGTGATGATAATGATGATGATGATGGTGATGATAGTCATGGTGAGAATATCTGATGATAATGACAATAATGGTACATTCTGATGCTGATGTTGATGATGGTCACAGTAGTGTACAAAATAATGGTGAAGATGGATGATAAATATATTCTATAACTAATGTTTTTCTTTTGAATCAGACCTTATCATTTCTGCCTTTGGAAGGAAAGATTAATTTGGACAATCCTGATCACATATTTTCTTTAATACTTGACTTTGGTGAAGATTCCAATGAAGCTTCGGAAGAGCCCTGTATATATTACTTTGGACGTTTGGTAAGGAACCACTTACCAGATAAAATAAGGAAAGAATGTATAGTTTACAGTCAAACTAAGAAAACCATGAGCACCTTAAATATGTCTGGAATGTTGAACATCATCTTCTGACCAATCGCATGCAAGAGTGAATTCATTTCTAATTAACTGTTGCACGTGATTGGTCAGAATATGATTTTTAATATTCCAGACATATTTTAGGTACTCATGGTTTTCTTACATTCACTGTAAAAGGAGCAAATATATGGCCACATGGTACAGTCGGCAGAAAAAGTCAGTTCCAACCACATGTTATATAGCAATCTTGGAGGGGTAGAATTTAAGATTTTTTTAAAATCCAAGACCAGCCTACATATCTTCCAAGATTTACACACTTGTACATTAAGCATTACTTTTGATTCATTCAGATAGGTAAGGGACAAAGACATATATGCCAGAAGTACTCGTTAAAAACCCGTCATTTCATTGGGAACACATCGATGGACCCTCTGCTCTCCTTTCTCATGGCTAATCAATGTCAGGTACTGTCAGTATATGTGTGTGTGTGCGGTCTGAAAGTGAAGAATGAAAGTCCAAGGTGTATTTAAATCGTTTTTTCTTCCTTCAATGTTTTAGGCAAGGCCTGGGACTTTAGTATATGATCCATTTGTTGGGACAGGTAATTACAGTGCAATAGAGATTTAATTTCACAGAATAATATTATGAACAAAAAAAGGGCTCAAAGTAATACAGGCTAACATCCAAACAGGCCAAATATTACAAGAATAATTTTGAAGTGTCAAATGGAAAATAAAATGGCAAGCTAAATTTAATGAATTTTTGCTTACCGATTTTCTTTTGGGTCTTCCTCGGTAAAAATGTCTGCCTATATTTTTATTCTATTTTGAGCCCTGCGGCATTTGTTTCCACATCAAACAGACACTCTTTCCTAAAGACACTTGAGTGACCATAGCAATGGTTCCATGTCATGGTTGGACTTGATGTGTTCATATATTTACTGTTTATTTTTTTGAGCCCAACCTCCACTTGACGCTATTGTTTTGCAGGGCTTCAGTAAAATAACGACCGGATATTGGACAATGTGCGACCAGAATTGGAACTTGTCCAGGCAAATCTTTGCCTTGCTTGTCATTTCGACCAGTAACATTGAGTCAGAAATGAGGTATGACTGAGGTTAAAAGTAATTTTACCGGTCATCATAACCGGTGTCTTACCGGCCGTTATTTTAAGCCCTGTTTCGTGGTCACTCATGGTCACTCAAACAAAAGGAAAGTTTTATTCACTTCCACAACTTTTCGTTTTCCAGGAAGTACCTTATTATCTTGTGCTCATTTTGGTTCTCGAGTTTTTGGTAGTGACATTGATAAAAACATTATCCAAGGACGAGGTAAAATATTAAACTTGTTTTCTTGAGATTTTTCATGTTTTCTGCATCACCTCATCTTCCACCTCATGTGTCCTTATTAAAGAATAGGCAAAAGAACTACTTTGAATTCATGGTGAACTGACAAGAACAAAATATAAGTGAGTTTTGAAGTGGTGAAGAAGTACCATATGACGACGAGCTGGACACAAGTGAAAAACGTCTGCGCATGCTCCTAAAAGGACAAAAATATAGAGGAAATCTCGCACCCAGAGCTCCTCGGGTTCGTTCCTACCAGTCGGAGGAATGAGCGGAAATCAGAAAAAAACGTTTATAATGATTATGAAATGCACCAGCCCTTTTTGAGAAAGGAAAGATTATATTTTCTTTTCCTTTCAACGCGGGGGTTGGCAGAACACGAGAGAAGTGTTAGGAGAAGCACGACGCGTAGCGGAGTTCTTCTCGACACTTCTCGAGTTATCCGCCAATCCCCAAGTGCTTTATAACTCCACACAGCACAGCAAGCAAGTTTTTTATTTCTTTTATAAAATACCAATTACATGAATGACGAAACTGAAAGTACGCGAGCGTGCAGTGTGATCTCATAAAGCACGCGCTCACAACCAATCAGAACGCGAGATTCTGACAGTCATCTCATAATATCATATGGTTGTCTTCGATATTTGAGAGTAAAAGTTATTGTTGACTGCCTTTTCAACAGGCAAGTCTTCRCGTGCCAACTCTAAATGCAAGTGGAGAGGTTAGTTTTCGTTCTGGTTTTGCTGTCATTTCTACCTCTAATTTAAGCGTAGTCATTTTCTTATTTTAGAACACTTGTATCTTCTCAAGCCAGTAAATATTACTGGAAAGAATAACACGTGGTGTGAAATAGGAAAACGTTATGCCCAAGATTAGAATAGTCTATAATACTAAAGAAACAGTAATGATAAAAAGGTAAATTATACACCGTGAAAAGATGAAAAAACTTACTAAGTAAGTTTTAGTAAGTTTTTTCATCTTTTCACGGTGTATAATTTACCTTTTTATCATTACTGTTTCATTAGAAACACCGACGCAGCTCACACTAGTTTTTAGCTAGTTATATCTTCTTATAAAACTAAAGGGATGACAAGTGATCTTCAAGAATAAAGAAGCTAATTCTATTCAACAAATGCTATTCAACTATTTGTTGGAAAAGTTTATAGATTTAATCTGAGACAGGACTTAAAAATCACTGCCTTCTTTAGACCAACTGCTTTCCTTTTATGATTTAGCAAGAGATGAGGTGATTCGTACCAACTTCATCCAAGCGGGTTTGGAGAATTTGTTTCTAGATGTTATGGTGGCCGATGCTTCTAGACCCGTGCTGAGAGCCACTCCTCTTTTTGATGCTATCGTAACAGATCGTAAGTAGAATACAATACTACAATGCAATACTTTATTTGCCAACGTGTCACTGAGGAGCTTATAAAAAAGGCGTTAAAACGAGAATGTGACGTCATTTTATTAAAATTAGCTCGGATTTCCCATCCCCCTTCTTCTCTTGAGAATTATTATTTTCATTTAGCAATGTATATTTGTATTCTTTTTGCAGCACCTTACGGGGTTCGGGAAGGAGTTCGTATACAAGAAGCGGATAAAACGGTCTTGGATGAAAACAGGTATTCACCACAATATAGATAATCTTCGCGTCGTGCTTCTCCTAACACTTCTCTTGTGTTCTGCCAATCTCCGCCTGCTTTATAACTACACAGATCACGCGCGCGCGTTTCCTATTTCTTCATTCTAGCACTGCCATGCCCATAGCTTAATAACCATATCCCTGTATCAAATGTGATATTTTCTCTAGAGACTTTGCGCCACCTTATATTCATCAATAATCCCTTATCCATATGTTTTCTTGATGTACATTTCAGGTCGGAGCCGGCATACCCTGCTATCCGTCTTGGACGGCTCTCTGATGTTATTCTCAGTCTACTTCATTTTGCTTCTCAGTATCTCACACTTCAAGGGAGACTTGTATTCTGGCTTCCAGTCCACAGACCAAGGTTTTTTTCCTTACCTTCGCCTTCTAAAAAGATTTGCTCCAAGCTGGACACACTTTCTTTTAACTAACTAACTTATTTATTTATATCTCAGAAATAAAAGGGAAACAGCGCGCGCACGAAATACAAAGTGAGAAAAATAAAAATTTCTTACCAGTCTCTTCGCCGCGCGCGCATCGATAAAAGTGGACCCAGCTCTTTCTTTACTCGACTATTTTTCTGCTGAGCAAAAAGTTGCTGACCAGAAACAACGCTGGCCTTGAGGAAGATATTTTGAGAAACTAAGAAGAGTTCTTTTTTTTCTTCTCGTAGTTATTCCAAGGAGAAGGTACCTCGACACCCATGCTTCACACTAGTAGCAAACAGTGAACAGCGTTTGTTTACCAACATATCAAGACGTCTTATTACGATGGAAAAAACGAAGGACTACATGGTAAGTTTAACCAGAGACATCCTTTTCTTTTTACATTATTGGCTGCATGTGACGTCTCTTGGGGTTTCGGGTTTGATCGCTGGACTCAGTGTAACATGACAGCAAAGTCTGCTGGGTCTGAAGAGGGGAAAATTCGAGTTACACGCTTCGAGTTACACACTTTTAGGATCGAGTTGCGTAATTAGCGCGTAACTCGAAAATTAAGTTCAACCCTGTCGTTTTCGAGTTACGTAACTCGACTGATTTTGATCTGAGCGATGTTTGTCATCGAGTTACAACCAGTAGTCAAAGTGGGCGTTGTCTCACCAAAATGGGTGTGTTCGAGCGTGTATCTCGAAGAAAACCCTACCTTATTGGGTCTCTCCCTCGAGTTCATTCAAGTTCATTCTCGTACCTAGAGTTTCCTTATAACGAAAATCGGAGAAAATCCTAAGACTTGGCTAATGAGTAGGGTCTGGGAACGAGACGGCGACGGCGCGTCGACTCAGGAGGGAAAAGAGGGACTGTTAGTCTAGTTTCCTTACAACTGACAAAATTAACAAAAAGAATATTTGTTTAACAGGATTCAATAACGATGGAGTCACTACTTGGTAAAAACAAAGACTTTGAAAAGATGTGCGATAATTTTCGAGAAAATTACTTTAGTTCTTCATCAAGCTGACAAGTGTAAGTCATCGGTCAGGATGGATTCTCATTCAAATAAACAGTTTGACTAAAACCAAATCTTTGACCTTTACGTGGTTATGACATTGGAGGTGGAATTGGGCTACCCGATACATGCTCTCTGTTCTCGTGCTGGCAATATATGATATCATTTCCCAAAAAGGCTACTCTAATTTGTATATAAATGGTCTTAGGAAAGGCTGATATTAAACGAAATGTATAACGACAGATATAGTTTTGAGACAAGCATAATAATGGGTATGGGCTGTATATAAATAACGTAAAGGTAAATAAGTAAAAAGGAAATAATCTGCCGCACCCGATTATGATATTACCGTCTAGAGAGACGGCGGTACATTTCACCAAAGTTACTACAAATACAAAAGGGTAGGTCGTAAACTCCTTTCAACTTTGAGAATATTGAGACTTAAATTATCCTCCTAAGCCTATACACCCCTCGTGGGGTATAGTCCATCAACAACATCTCCATAGGAAGTCCCTCCTTCATCCGGGACTAGATTCTCTGATTGTTTATCTGTTGGTGATGTTTCTGTAGCGTTTTTTTGTCGCCCAACCCTCCTCCTTTCTCATCCGGGCTTGGGACCGGTAATACTGGAGTTAAATAAATAAAGTATGATTTCCTTTTTTTATTTATTTAT